AAGGAAATACAATCAATCAACCAAAAACCTGACAATAAAAATCTAAAACTAATTATATTTTTGGAAAATATTACATTTGAAACTTGAGAGCTAGAATGGCTTCCTGACAAGAGAGTTTACACAGCATTTATGTTTGTTTTAAAGCTTTTTAATCCCTAACTCTGGTTCACTAAACTAGTCTTACTTATTTCCTATTTCTTCACTTACAATCTTACTCCCCAAAGTTTTTAAGTGATAAACATCACTTTTAAGTGATAATAATATACATAAGCTATTAGTACAAGCTCTTTCACAACAGGTAGATGTAAATGTCCTACTGTATCTCTCAATGTTTGCGAACTACCCCTTTTGTATATTCCTCTCAAATATCACATAGAGTGGGCTACATGATTTTTAAATAACTCTACAGCCCTAAAATTTCTTGATTTTGTGTTTTTACTTGCAAAATTAATGCACTGTTTCCCACAGGTTTTGTGGAGATACAAAGGAAAGAAACCGGCCACATTGGGAGCCAATACTCGGCTCTATGACTGGATACCCCAGAATGACCTTCTCGGTAAGACTGAGGGGGAAAGCTATATAGTTGGGTGAGGAACAAGTTCAGTAACTGATAGCAACTAAATTCAATCAACAGTTAATTTAAAATTTTCACATTTTACACATTTAACATTTAAAATTTCCAATTCTAAAGCAGGTATAATTAAAGAATTGACCATTTATAAATTCCTGCTTCCCCTGGTTCACAAAGGAGAATCTTCAGTTAAGACTCTCGTGACTTTTCAAAGTTCAATCTCAACTCAAGTGTCACCTCCTCAGTACAGTCTTTCCAGATAATGCTGAGAGAGTTAATTTACCATTTCCTGAGATCACAGTTTTCTGAGATAGTAATGACCCCTGTGTTCAGCTTCTGTAGAAAATACTGTGTTCTTCATTGATTTAGCCTGTAGTTTTCTCCATCTCACTCTGAAATTCTGTTAACATATTATAATGAAATCCTCATCTGTTTCTCACTCAACCCTCAAACTAGGTCATCCCAAAGCAAAAGCTTTTATCACTCATGGTGGAACAAATGGAATCTATGAAGGTATTTATCATGGGGTCCCTATGGTGGGAGTTCCCATGTTTGCTGATCAGCATGATAACATTGCTCACATGAAGGCCAAAGGAGCAGCTGTGGAGGTGAACATAAACACAATGACAAGTGCAGATTTGCATGATGCCTTGAAAACAGTCATTAATGAACCTTCGTAAGTATTACTTCTTTAAAAGGTTTATCATTGATTATATTACCCATCATATTCAAGAATGCCCAATGTATCATGTATATGTACTTGCTGTACCTTTAAATAATAACCAAAGTATGACTAATATAAAAACCACTCTATTATTTCATTCCCCAAATAAATGAAATGATTTGTTAAAATTCCAAAAAACCCTCAGATTTCAAATATCTACCAACTACTGTGATGCCATAATGGTTAGGGGCTCAAATTCTAGCCAGATATTTCTACTTACCTTGAAAACTCAGATTCCATCTCCTTGCCATTTCTAAAATTACTCTAGTACCTTCATCTAATTTTGACCTTGCCAATAAAGACACAAATACACAAGTGTGTGCAATTGAGGAATCTCAGAACTGCAAAAATGACTCATGGATGTTGATTACCAATTTCCTGTGCCTGTCATTTTGTTTGTTTGTTTGTTTTGTCTTTGTTTTTTATTTTTGTTTTTTGTTGTGTGTGTTTTTTATTGTTCAAAATATTACAGATGTCCCCTTTTTTCCCCATTGACCCCTTCCACCCCTCACCTACTCCCTACCTCAGGCCTCTACCACACTATTGTCTGTGTCCACGGGTTATGCATATATGCATAAAAATTCTTTGGTTAATCTCTCCCCATCTACTCACCCATCCCCACCTTCCCTCTGAGATTCATCAGTCTATGCCATGCTTCTATGTTACTGAGTCTATTTTGTTCATCAGTTTATTATGTTCTTTAGATTCCACATAGTGAGACATTAGGGTCCATGCTTATGGACTTTTTAATGGATATTTTCCCACAATATATGGGTTAGCCACAATCTTGGCTTTTGAACGGTCCTTAAAATCACACTTCAAACAATAATATTAAGATTACTTCTTGAGAAAATTAGGCTTATTCCTTTTTTATATGTTTACATTTGATCACATTGTGTCAAAAATGTATTTCTTCCAAACCATCCCCTTTACAGCTCTGAAAATGCTATGCAATCAGCAAAGTTCATGTCACAGCAAGAATGAAATGTTTCCTCAACGCATCTGTGGCCTTTGCATAATATAATATGTTATGCAAAGGTATCATATACTTACCTTCAATGAAAACAAAAGCTCTAATTTCTGTCTATGTCTGTGTCTACCAGTTATAAAGAGAATGCTATGAGGCTATCAAGGATTCACCATGATCAACCTATAAAGCCCTTGGATCGAGCAGTCTTCTGGATCGAGTTTGTCATGCGCCACAAAGGAGCTAAACACCTGCGGCCAGCTGCTCACAACCTCACCTGGTTCCAGTACCACTCTTTGGATGTGATTGGGTTCCTGCTGGCCTGTGCAGCATCTGCTATAATTTTGGTCACAAATTGTTGTCTGTTTTCTTGTCGAAAATTTGGTAAAACAGGAAAGAAGAAAAAGAGGGAATAGATCATTCTAAGGGTGGTAAAAGTCTGCATGGGCAATCCTGTTCAGTTTAGCCACAATGACCTTAATGAAAACATATCATCTTCATCATGTTTTCAAAATTCCCGTTCCTCTACCTTAGCCTGCAGATAAATCCTACAATTTGGCAATACCATTAAGTAGTGAGTAGGTGCCACTCTTCCTTTGCCTTTTGCCAGATGGTTTACCCTCTTCCTCTCATTTTCTTAATACAGGGACACTAAGGGTTTTATGTACATTCTATGCATAATATCAAAATTTTCTTTATTTTTAACCCTAAGTGATATGCTGACTAACAATATGCTAAATCCTGGGGAACACACAAGATGTGAGCTACATTTGATGGATGTAGGAAACATGGAAGAATAAAATTCTCAAGTTCCCCTAGAACAAATCAGGGAAACATCATAGAAGATTAGTATGTTAGAAGAATAGTATTTTTTTTCCATAAAAATAAGTCCTTCTGCTTGCCCAATGATTCTGGGGTCAGAGCTATCCATTGAACACATGCATAATCATGGCTTGTGTTCCACCTTTAGTCAACAAGTATTCTTGGGTGCCCTCAAGTGCAAGTGTCTGGGTACTGCCTTCAAACAAAAGAGATCAATTAGTCATTACTTTTTCTCAAGGATAGAGAATGTAGCAATATGTTAAAGGTAAACAGATCACTTTTAGAGGAAATAACAATTCAAAACATAGAAAAAAATTAGTAATTTTATGAAAATTTTAATTAACAGTACAATTAATAAAAAAGTTAAATGTGAATTCATTATATTTAAAAATCACTAATGCTCATAATCTATAATTACTATAATCAAAGGCTTAGTTTTCTGTCAATAAAACAAACATTTATTTGGGATGTCAGATCATTATATTATTTTTCAGTCTCTATCATCTACAAATTTAAATTCATAAATTAATTGTTATACCAAGAACATAATATATTAGCAGATCCCCTGACCAAAAATGTTATAGTAAATATTTATGCAAAATACTAATTAAAGGCAAATGTTCATATTTGAATCAGCTTTGCATTAATTTAACAAATAGAATAAAAATTGAACTTTCTTTATATCCATTACAAACTTAATAACATGTTTAATTAAAGATTTAATTTCAGTGTTTGGTGTATAATTAAGGAGATAAATGACATCCATTGTTTATTGATAATTTTGACATACTTATTCATTTCAATATTGTGTATTAAAAATTGCTTCCAATTTGAAAATAACTGTATCATAAAAGCATATAAGTATTTCTTCTTGATATGTTCATTACTGAAAATGCAAATAAATTCTACAATTTTTTTGTGAAGACTAAAATGTACTTATTATAAGTTAACGTTTTTAAAGGGTGATTCATATTGATGTATTTTGACTTTTACAGTTTTATTATGTTTTGAGAATAACTGCTTATTTTTGCTCTATGCCCAGTTTATTTTCTGCAACTAGAATGCAGTGAATGCCTATGATCCTATGAGAAGTAGGCTGGTTATCCATAGTGCTGAGCTCTACGCAAATCCAGGCATCCATTTGGTTTCTGATACAAGCCACCATTAAATAGGGAACTTGCTTGTGCTCAATAACCACTGTTCACATAATATTTCCCCTCCTGCTCTCTGATTATCTGCAGATTTCTTTCTTTTCCTGAATATCACCAGAAGTCAGCTGGCAAAAATTCCTGGGTGATAACAGTTTCATTAGTTAGTGTAACTTCAGCATATATGTAAAAAGAAAAAAAGTCTTAGAATGGATTTTTCCTTACCAGTCATTCATAAAACTAGTCAGATGAGGAAACTCTCATCCTTAACAAAGCAGAAACCATGTGCCATCAACCAGAGTACTTTGCACAATTCTTACATCCTCAGAATTCACAGATGCTCAGGAGCCTGGATTTAATACTTTATTTTGTTCATATACATTCCATGTGCCCCTTATCCCATGGCAGCATCTCCTCTAGTCAGGTTTCTTTACCTGGCAAGATGATCCAAATCTTCATCCATTCCAAATCAATGTGATAATATATATTGTCTGAATGATTTATCACAGCTTTCCATTTACCTTTACTATTGGACATCAGAGTATTAAGTAGTAATCTGCTGGATATGAGACTTAATTTTGCCTATATTTTATCATGTGTCAGCGGCCTAGTTTATCTTTGGTATTTTGGATCTATCACCACAGCCAGAAGAGGAACACAACAGAAGAGCTCGAAGTAATCAAGAAGCATTCACAGGTTCTAATCTAAGTAAATCGTGGCCATGTCTCTAGGTGGAATCATTCCTCTCTTGAAAATGCAGCCTCAAACGGCCTGGCTCCAAGATATAATGAACAAACTTGTCTAAGGGAAATGGTGACTCATACTTGTTAGGGGACCCATTCTCTTTCAGTCCCTTGAACTCTGAACCCATGTATTCAAACCAAAATACTGAAGGCATCGTATATCAGGCCATGATTTCAAGCATACACTGAATCCTTTAATAAAGCACCTAAAATACGTAGGGAATTGTCTCAGCTAAAACCCTGAGAAGCTTTCATTAGCTAATGGGGAACTTGATAAAGTCAGCAAACTGTATGGACATTAGGTTTTCTTGCTTTTTTTGTGTGGCTATAAATATGTTTTCTGGTCATACACATATTGATATCAATAGCATGATTTTTACTAAGACTTCATACCCATGGTTGGTTTGTGAGGCTGGTTAAAATACTACAGAGAGTGGGGGTGAGGTGGGAGATGTTTGTTATTTAGAAATTTAACTACTTCTATGGAGATAACAGATGCATCCTCTCGGATGGAAGGTGACCAGTGCAATCTTCTACCTTCTGGCTGTCTAGAACCCTAGGGAGTGATGCCATATTGAGAAGCAAGTAGGGAGATATATTAACAGATTGAAGATATAACAGCTGAAGTAGCCAGATAAGCCTTAGTGAGGTGAATTCAATGTTCTGCACTCTTGTATAGTTTCCATCCCATTCTCCATTGCTCCTCTGTACATGAGTTTTATGATCAAATTCTGGAAAGTAGGAAAAACAGTGTCATACACAGAACTACTCATCCAGAACACCTTATTGTTGAGACAGTTGTCTGTAGCATTTGGTTTCTGGAGAAAATTCACATTGGATATGGAGAGCTGTGCAAATTTTCATAATCTATGCGAATTCCAAAATAATCCTACTCCAGGTCTTCTTGCCTTTAATCTTCCCTGTAATTCTTCCCAAGTCTTTGACCAACCAATCAATTCATTAGTCACTGCCCATGAGTCTGCAGATCTGCAAAGAAAGCCATTCTCCTCATAATTCTGTCAATGTTTGTTTTATAGAATTTAAGGTGGTAATAGCTTCATTTACATAAAATTATATAATTTCCAAATGAATGAAAAATTTTGTTATTATTTTTCATTGACTTATTTTTGGTAATGCTTTTTTTGAGTTAAAATTAATTATTTTCTAATATCAGTAGAACAACATCTGCATCCTTTTGTTGTGTCATATTTTTCATATATTTACTTTAAAATGTTTACATGTATTAATGTTTTAGACATTCTCTTTTTAGTCAGAATATAACTAGACTTTTATAAATTAACTGTTTATCTTTATTTTCTAAGCACAAAATTTTAATTTATTTTGTGTACCTGAAAACTAGTATATTTCATTTTCAATATTTTTCATAGATTTTCAGTTTTTCTAATCATATTTCCCCAGTTTTCTTTTGCTCCTCACATCTAAAAAGATGTTTTTTCTTTTGCTGTGCTTTCTTTTTGTTTTTTCTTCTACTTATTTGGAAGTTACACACTGTACTAATATTTAGGTGTGTCTCTTTTAACCAGTACATGACTGAATTTTTATAATCTAATATAAGTTTTACTTGAGAATTTTTATCCACTTATATTTGTTAGTATAACTGACATATTGTTTTTATGATCATTTTATGTTATTTCTTTTTTTTTCAATTCTTTTTTGTTTTTGCTTTTTTGCTATGTTTTAAAGACTACTTTTAGTCTGTTGGGGGATTGCACTGCAATCCCTCCAAAATTTTACTTAGGGTAGGCGTATTACAGTGAAGTTTTTATATCCTTTATGACATGACACCTGATATTCCTTTGAAGATTAAATATAACCTCATAACAATGACATGCTACTGCAAATTTTGGATTGCATCTCCAAAACCATTTTCCACATCATAGATCTTCTAAGCAATATTAGCTAATATAGACATAACACTGAGAATTTTAGCTGAAGTGTGACATGAATGAACTGGCATCTTAAAATGCCAGTGGGATTAAAGTGTAGATAATGGATTGTAGGCATAGAAAATTAAAACCATGCAGGTCACTAGAGAGAGTGTTTCGGTAATCCTGACCAGCATAACTGAGATCAGAACAAAGGTATTTACCATTATGATAGAGAGATAAAGATACTTTCATTAGACACCTGGGGTAAATTCAAAAGTTTGGTAAGTGAAAGGAGTTAAGTGTTCAGGGAAGATAATGAATTTAAGGTGGACTACTGCATTTCTATCTTGTGTGTTTATTTGAATATTGATGACTTTTACTGAAATAGGAAACAATGTGGAGGGACTTCTTTAGGATGAATATGTTCTCTTTCAGGTTTATTCACTTCAAGGAATCAAAGAAATATTTAAGTGGAAAGTTTCAGAAGTCGTTTGGAATATAGTCAATCATATTTTAATAAATATGTGTGATGTCAGATGGGTACTAGAATTATCAGGTGATCACTTCATAAATCTATAAATGCCTAATCACTATGTTGTAAATCTTAAACTAATATACTGTACAGTTAAAAGTCTCCTCTTCAGATAGTTTTCAGTTAGTAATTCAGAGTGACTGTTTCCCAATATAGTTTTATTTCTGATTTGGTTCTGGAAGGAAGTGTGCGAAAGATCCTCCTACTCCACAGCCATCTTAAATAACCCACATTTATTATTTTAAATCCATGTTTTGGGCTATTATGGTCTCATGCTTAAATTACTAATACACATTTTTTATCATTTTCCCTGCTTTTAAACTCTTGCCTTTGTATGCCATTCTATGTTTAGCTGCCAGAATCATTTGCTAAAGGAAAAATTTGATTTTGTGATTACCCTTCTTTAAAATTTGAGTAAATAACATTTGTCTGTAAATTAAAATCCAAACCATTCAAGACTACCTATTGTCTCCTATTTCAATCTAACTTTCTTCTGTTACCTACTGCCCACAACTTTCTCTGCGATCCATACCCACTGGAATGCTTTCCAAATACCCATGAACTTTTCTCATTCATCTGTTCATTGTGAAATCTGTCCTTTTGCTACACTCTGCCTAGATCCTACCAAGGCTTTCATCTCGCCTCATCTTTTCTATTTTACTAAAGCTGTTTCCAATTATTCCATAGAGGATTATGAGGTTTTTCCTCTGGAATTCTGAACACCCTGTACTAGTCTTAAGACTCTTATCAAAATATGCCCCATATATATCCAAGCAAGCTATTTGCTATTTCACATAGGGGAAAAGATATGGCACGTGTGTCACCTAAACCATCAGGCAAATTCAGACACAGAGTGGAATGGACTTCGGTGTGTGTGTCTGTGTGTGCGAAATATTATCCACAGGGGATTCTTATTTGTTATTTTCCTTACTTCCAATCTACAGGATAAATGTATCTCTATGTAATGTATTTTATTTTTGAGTTCTGGAAGTCGAAATAATTTTTCCCAGAGAACTTTTTGGCTTCTGTTTTATTCCCTCGATAAACATTAATCTTGCATGAACACAAAAACATTTTAATTTTAAAGTTAATTTTTAACCTATGTTGTGTCTTTATTGCCATTGATCTCTGCACTCAGCAGGAACACCCTAAACCTCTGCAGAGCAGTGTGTGACGGAGCTGCTGTCATGTTACCTCAGAAGTGGGCTTCGGTGGTTCTGCTGCTGCAGCTCTGCAGTGCTGGCTGTGGATTCTGTGGAAAGGTTCTGGTGTGGCCTGTTGACATGAGCCACTGGCTTAATATAAAGAACATTCTAGAGGAACTCGCAAAGAAAGGACATGAGGTAACTGTGTTGACTCCTGCACATACTAAGCTCATTGACTACAAGAAACCTTCCCCACTGAACTTCGAAATATTGCATTCAGAATATCAGAAAGAATCAGTGGAGAAAGCACATGAGAAATTTCTGGACGTAATTTTGAATGTCTTGCCAAACTTAACACCCTGGCAATCAACAATAAAACTGAATGATGTTTTTCTTGAAATAACTGAAAGTGTAAAAACCCTGTGTGAGAGTGCAGTCTACAATCAGGCACTCATGAAGAAGCTCCAGGAAAGAAACTACGATGTAATGGTTATAGACCCTGTAATGCCCTGTGGAGAGTTGGTGGCGGAATTGCTTGGAGTCCCTTTTGTGCTCACATTAAGAGTGTCTATGGGAGGCATGAAGGAGAAACACTGTGGGAAACTTCCAGCTCCACCTTCTTATGTTCCTGTTCAGATGGTGGGACTTACAGACCGAATGACCTTTCTGGAAAGAGTAAAAAATGTAATGTTCTCTGTTCTCTTTGACTTCCGGATCCGGGATTATGACATTCATTTTTGGGACCAATTTTACAGTGAGGCATTAGGTAAGACATTTTGCTTTTTATTTTAAAGTTGTTATCAAAATAAATTCAGAAATCTAAGTGAATGAAATCTAAGTAAATGAAAGGAATACATTTTAAAGTATCTGACTTTCATTTAAAACTCTACCAGTGACAGTAATCAACTGGTTATCAAAAACTAAGTGGAAATGGGAACAAGAAATCTCTTTACATGGTTACTCTGTCTTTATAGTTATCATACCATTTCTTGTAAGACAACTTGATGCTTGTTAGGTTCCTGCAAAAAATCAATACAAAACACGCAAAAATGTTAATCCTCTAGAAGATGGAATTTTTTTCATATTTGGATATTATATATGAGTCCAGTACACTGCATTTTCATTTTAGAGGAAGTTGTAGTATTCTTGGTAAAGAGAGGACAATGTTTACCTAAGAGCAAGATAACCTACTTGTCTGATACCAGTCCTAAAGTAAAATATGATTATTATTAACAAAGATATTGTATTTAATCCACCTGTATCAGTTCCAAAATTTTTGATATGCATAACCCATGGACACAGACAATAGTGGGGTGAAGGCCTGGGGGGAGGGTTCAAGGTAGAGGGGATCAATGGGGGGAAAAGGGGACATTTGTAATACTTTCAACAATAAAGATAAATTTTAAAAAATGGGTGTTGGACTTTATGGAATGCTTTCTCAGCATTTATTGATATAATTATGTGATTTTTGTCTTTCAGTTTGTTTATGTGATATATTACATTTATTGATTTCTGGATATTGTACCAGCCTTGCATCCCTGGAATAAATCCCACTTGGTCATGGTGTATGATCTTTTTAATATATTGATGGATCTGATTTGCTAATATTTTGTTGAGGATTTTGGCATCTATGTTCATCAGGGATATTGGCCTGTAATTCTCTTTCTTTGTAGTATCTTTATCTGGTTTTGGAATTAGGATAATTATAGCCTCATAAAAAGAGCTTGGAAGTGTTTCTTCCTTTTGGATTGTTTTGGAATAGTTTGAAGAGGACAGGTGTTAGTTCTTCTTTGAATGCTTAGTAAAACTCCCGTGTGAAGTCATCCTGAGCAGGTCTTTTGTTTGCTGGGAGTTTTTGATTACTGCTTCAGTTTCATCAATTGTTATTGCCCTATTCACATTTTCTGATTCTTCCTGATTGAGCTTTGAAAGGTTGTATTTTTCTAGGAATTTTTCCATTTCTTTGTTTGTCCAACTTGTTAACATATAGTTGTTTACAGTATTTTCTTACAATCTTTTGTATTTCTGTGGTGTCAGCTGTTACTTAACCTCTTTTGTTTTTGATTTTATTTATTTATTTACACTCTTTCTTAATGAGTCTGGCTAAAGATTTATCAACCTTGTTTATTTTTTCAAAGAAACAGCTTTTGGTTTCATTGATCTTTTGTATTGTTTTTTAGTCTCTATATCATTTACTTCTGTTCTGATCTTTATGACTTCCTTCTTTCTACTTACTCTGGGCTTTTGTTTTTGTTCCCTTTCTATTTCTTTAAGTTGTAGGATTAGATAGTTTATTAGAAGTTTTTCTTGTTTTTTGAGGTAGGCCTGTAGTAGGCTATGAACTTGCCTTTCAGGGCTGCTTTGGCTGTGTCCCATAGATTTGGTGGTGATGTGTGTTCATTTTCATTTTTTTCCAGGAATTTTTTTTATTTCTTCCTTGACCTCTTTGATAACCCATTGATTGTTTAATAACATGCTATTTAGCCTCCATGTGTTTGAATGTTTACCAAGGTTATATCCTCTTGTTGGATTGATCTCTTTAGTATTATGAAGTGGCCTTCATTGTCTCTTGTTATGGCCTTCATTTTGAAGACTATTTTATCAGATATGAGTATTTCTATACCAACTTTTTTTTTTTTTCCATTTGCAAGGAAAAATTTTTTCCATCCCTTCACTTTCATCCTGTGTGCCTTTGTTCTGAGGTGGCTCTCTTGTAGACAGCATATATTTGGGTCATATTTTCTTATCCATTCAGCTACCCTATGCTTTTGATTGAGGTATTTAAGCCATTTGCATTTAAGGTTATTATTGATAGGTACTAATTTGTTGCCATTTTTATTCTTTATGCCTGTTTTTCACTCTCTCTCTCTATGTTTCTTCTTACAACAATCCCTTTAGCATTTCTTGCAATGCTGGTTTTGTTGTAATTAGCTCCTTTAGCCTTTTTTTGTCTGTGTAGCTCTTTGTTTCACCTTCAATTTTGAATAATAGCCTTGTTGGATAAGGTAGCCTTGGATTCAGTCCCTTACTTTTCATTACTTTGTACACTTCATGCCACTCCCTTATGGCCTGATGTGTTTCTATTGAGAAATCAACTGATAGACTAATGGGAGCTCCTTTGTAGATAACTTTCTGTCTCTCTCTTGCTGCCTTTAAGATTCTTTCTTTATCTTTAATGTTTGCTAATTTAATTATGACTTGTTTTGGTGTGGGTCTTTTAGGGTTCATCTTGATTGGGATTCTCTATATTTACTGGACTTGTGTGACTTTTTATTTCACCAGGTCAGGGAAATTTTCTGTCATTATTTCTTCAAATAGTTCTCTATTCCTTGCTCAGAATCTTCTCCTTCTTTTACCCCTATGATGCAGATGTTGTTACATTTCATGTTGTCCCAAAGCTCCCTTAAACTTGCTTGCTTTTTAATTTTTTTCCCCAATTGCTGCTTTGATTGAATGTCTTTTTCTACCTTGTCTCTTAACTCATTGATTCAGACCTCAGCTTCATCTAATCTACTGTTGATTCCTTTCAGATATTCTTTATTTCAGCTATGTCATTCTTCATTTCTAATTGATTCTTATTCATGGTTTCTATCTCTTTTTTCATGTTGGTGTAGTTCTCACTAAGATTCCTATAGTTCTCATTAAGTGGCTTGTAGTTCTCACTAAGTTGTTTGAACACCCTTATAACCATTACTTTGAATTATTTATCTGACAGATTCCTTGCCTCCATTTCATTTTGTTTCTTTTCTGGTGATTCTTCCTTTTCTTTCTTTTTCAGGTTGTTTCTTTGTCTCCCCATTTTAGCAGCCTAGTAGTCAGGGGTGCTGTGAGCAGCAGGGTGAGGCAGCTGGGTTGCAGGGGGAGGTCCATGCATCCAGGGGCAATGGATTGCACCAGGTCATAAGCAGTGGGATCGATCTTCTGGTGCCACTGGGTTAGGCACTCTGGGTCACAGTGGCAGGTCCATGAATCCTGCCACACAGTGAGGTTCAGTCTTTTGGGGGCACTGGGTCAGGCATGCCTGGTCATGGAGGCAGGTCTGTGCATCCAGGGGCCTTGGGTCATGACTGTGGGGCCCAGTGCAAGGAGGCAGGGCCAGTCATCTGGGGGTGCCAGGTCAGTCACACTGGGTCTGATGGTAGGTCCTTGTGTCCGGGGTTGTTGGATCACCTTGGCAGGGCCAGTCATGCCACACCAAGGTGGTGGGGCTAGTCATCCAGGGGCACCACGTCTGGCACACCAGATTTGGGTGGCAGGTCCATGCATCCAGACATGCCACACATCAATGTGCTCACCATTCTTATCCTCTCATAAACTTCATTTTTGGTTTAGAATTTTTTTATTATTGATTTTTAGAGAGAGGAGGGAGAGAGAGAGACATTGATGTAAGAGCAGAACATCAATTGACTACCTCCTGCATGCTCCCTTCCAGGGATGGAGCTCACAACCCAGGCATGTGCCCTGACCAGGAACTGAACCAGCAACCTTTCAGTACATGGATGATGCCCAGCCAACTGAGTCACAGCAGCCAGGGCCCTCTCATAAACTTTAAATGAAACTCCAGAGAGTCCTGTTTGGACAGGTTCATCATCGTTGGTCATAAAAAAGATTCCTAGGATGCTTTATATTTCTTGGAGGAGTGCTGCACAAAAACCTGAAAGAGTAATTAGAAAATTCTGAAAGACTTGTGTCTTGAGCAGTTAAAGAGAATAGATTTTTTTTTAACTTCACTGATATACACCTATTCAATCTATATTTAATCTTTGACTTTTCTGCTTAAAAAAATGCTTTGATTTACAATTTCATATGCTCAGCTTTGATATGAATCAGCCAACTCAGAGAGAGTTCTCCTTCAACTATAATTGAGAAGCACAGACAAGAACAAAGGATCAATCTAACACTAAATATATTCTCTAATTCACCGATTATCTAATTGTTTCACAGAACTAATGTTCAAAGAAACCAACTTAAAAAATGCTTTGATATAGTCATGATTTGAACTCAAATGTATTGGTTTGCTATAATTAATCAATTTAATAATCATTATGCATGCTGGGATCACACTACATGCTAGGCTCTATAGATTAGTTAAAAAAATACAAGGATCTTGGCTCAAGTCTGCCCTCAGTGGTAATGGAAAGCTATATGTCACTGCCACATTTTGATAATAGGATTATGAGTAAAGGCCTCTGAGAAGCCTCAACTTGAGAAAAAGTGGGCAGAAGCATTATTTAAGGAAAAGAGAGAAAAAGGGCATATTTTATTAAGCAAAATTGTACTAGTCATGTATTCAGACAATCCCTAAGAAGTTTTTAAAATTAAAAATCATCCCACTTGACTCACTGGGTAGCTTAACATAGCAGATTCATTTGATAATAATATCTACTTGGTAGCTAAAATTTAACCCATTAATTGAACGTATATGTGTGTGTCTGTGTGTGTGTGTATATATATACATATACATATATATGCATATATATTAGAATTATCCATTCTGATTATAGAACTCAATTTTATGTAAATTATATAACTAAAATAAAATGGATAGCTGTCAGTTTTATTTCACTGTTTTATGTTCATAATTCCTCATATGTAACATTTCAAATATTATTTATGAAATTATTTACAGTTTATTTTATACTTAAATTCACTTTCATTCTTTCATTTTATCCCCTCTGTACTCATTATTGTGAATCATTACTCTAAATACAGAATTCTCCTAATTGCTTTAAGCTCTGTCTTTCTGAAATGAAGCGAAGGTCATATAGACTAAATCACCTAGGGAAAAAAATGATTAAGTGAAATAAGAGAATGGCTAATAAAAATATCACCTTGGAGTTTGTAATCAAGGCATGATTTAAGTCAGTAAGTAACATCTAGAGGGGAAAGACACATTAATTCAGAAACTAAGAGATGGAGCTCTAATCTACCCTCTAGCAATTTCAAGCTGAGTGTCCTTTGGACTACAAGACCTCAAAGATTAAAAAGTGATGACTCTGAAATGAGGCTTTCCTCCCTGGGTGTATGTCACCATCAACTTTGTTTAGAATTCTAAAGTGAAAAATATTCTCACACTGGTTTTTTTCTCTTTCTCTCAGTTATATAACATGTATTTTTTTGTAAACAGAAATTATTGACTAGGTTATTTTTGCAATTAGTCATTCTTCTGCATAAAAATCTAAAATTAATGCCTTAAATACCCTTCAAAACACAGCAGTAAGGCAGCAGTAAAGTAAGACAGTAGTAAAGTGGTGTGTGATCATCGTAGTATGTACTTATGTATGACACATCCCAAAAAGAGGGTCATCATGAGTATGAATTATTCAGGGAGTTGATACTAATAAAATAGTGACCCATTATTTGAAGTGATGAGATATAACTGAGAAGGATAAGGTAGGCTGATACTGATGGGATCCTATAACAATATGAGTAATCCTGAAATTAAAACATGCTGGAGAGGGCGTGGACATATTCTTGACTGGAAGACTAGATACCATTGAAAGGTGACTTGGTGCAGATATCATGAGGCTAATCTATCATCTGCCATTCAGTTGGAGAGAAAAAAAATTAGTAATTAATTTATAGTTTGGAGTTGTGTTTAAATGTTTTGTTTGTTTTTTATCTTGTAAAAAAAAAACTTACAAATTATTCTATTTTTCTGTTTTTTTTTAAACTTTCTTTTCTCTTTCATCTTTACGTCTTATTTCTCTTTCTTTTATTCCATGTTATTTTATTAATTCCCCCTTTCATTTGCCTCTAAAAGCCATATTATTCTAGAAGACCTAAATTTATTTTTCCCTTGATAGCTAATCATCAAATTAGTGGTGCAATTTTTCCATTTAACTTACAGTCTAATTCCCTCTACCCACCTTTTTTTTTTTTTTAATTTTTCCAGGAAGACCCACTACATTATGTGAGACTCTGGGGAAAGCTGAAATTTGGTTAATTAGGACATATTGGGATTTTGAATTTCCTCGCCCATACCTACCTAATTTTGAATTTGTTGGAGGATTGCACTGCAAACCTGCCAAACCTTTACCTAAGGTAAGACTATAGCGTTGAAGGATTACATGTACCTTCTTATATCCCTGATCTCCCTTTAAAGATCGCAGTCTTAATAAGAGAGACATGATGTTGAACATCTTTGAATGGCCAACTCCATTTCCATTTTCCATGTCAGAGGGGCTCTTGTGAGTTATATACAGGTACTTTAGGCATTATATTGGGAAATTAGGTTGAAAAAGTGGCATGATTGAAGCATATCTTAAACTATCATTGTTTTTATAGTATGGATAATTGATAGAAGTGACAGGAAACTGGAGCCATGAACATCACTAAGGAGACTGCTGTAGTATTTCTCACGAGCACGATACAGTTGTGAACAACGGCATATACTATGACAGAGAGATAAACATGCTTTCATGGGACACTAGGATAAGTTCCACACTGTTTAAGGGTGAGAGGAAGTAAAAGTTGAAGAAAGAGAAGGAAATAAAGATGACTCCTTGATTTCCATTTTAAATGTTTATTTCATAGTGTTGGCTTCTACTGAAATAGGAAACATGAGGTAAAAATTATTTGAGACTAATACAATGAGTTCTGTATTGTGACTATTCACTTAAAGGAGCAAGAGGATTTTCTAGAAGTCATTTGGGTAATGGGAGGTCTCAGTCTCAGCGCACAGCACAGGAAAGATGGGAGGTTATCAGCATAGAGTTCATGAAAACGAGAGGCCCAATCTTGGCTTGATTCTTTACCAACATGGTTTCTTTTGGAATGAAAAAGATAATAGTGTACCACATTCCTAAGTCTTCAAAGAAAAAAATGTGGGTGTCAGGGATGTCGGAAGAAAATAGTACTGAGAAACAAACGAGTAATAGATAAGCATTACAAGGATACCTTGTTGAACTATCGATAGGAAGCGAGGAGGAAAACCCTCATTTACTTGTACTGTAAGAATATTAACAAAATCCCTTCAGGAAGTTTGCAGAGTACATGGTGTTCCCAGGAGAATCTTGATTTATTTTATGGTGAAGTGTATCTTGATGAGTGATACTTCATTTCAGAGTCATGAATATCTTTTTCCTTACCAAGCAAGTTATCTCTGCAAACCAAGTTCTGTCACGACTTGGCATAATGAACCAACATCTAACTTGAGAAATCAAAAAAGAGGTGACAATTTTTATGGCTCTCTAGATAATCTCCTATACCAAACTCATTTCTATCCTCTATTTCCCACTTTTACACGATATACACTCTTACAGCCACACACACACAATAAGCTCCATAATTTCACAAAATCACCTCAGATGAAATGAAAGGGGGAAATTTATCCCATTCTAAATTCAGCTTACCTATTGATAAGGAGTTTGTGCAGTCTGAATACTAATCATGGTTTATGGTTAGAATTAGTCCAGACACGAAACACACAGATTAAAAAGCAATGATGAAGCAGAAGCAGTTTGTTCTGGCAGTTGGTGGCGAGGCACAAGGCTCTTCGAAATGGAAGGCTTGGGCACGGACTGGTATCGAGAGCTGTGACTTCCAGGGTCAGGCACAGAGCCAGAGCAGATGCTGGAAGGACAGATGCAGGTTGTAGAAAATCCTCACTCTGACTACAGTCTCACAGATAACATTGAGAGGATGGTAGAAAATAAGAATATTCATGCAGAAGAGTCATCCGAACAGAAAGTGGATCTGCAGTTTTTGCCAACTGTGCCTACCTGGATCAGACAGGTGTGCCTATCTTATTACAGGAAATTACTGTACTTGCAAAGGAAAGACTGCGGAATCCCATTGAATTTCAGGCATAACATCTTTTTAAAAAGAAAGCACAGTTGGAAGATCGAAGCTGACTTATTGGGAAGAACAAAAACATTTGGTTTCTACTGTAGATTTACATGATTAAGAGGCAGCTTTAATTTCCATAATTTCTCCCCCTTTTTGGAAGTATAAGACCCTTCAAGATAACAACTTATTACTGGAGTTGCAGGAAACATATTTCACTTATTTTGATTTAATGACCATACTTATTTAATGAGTGTGTTCTGTGCATTTTTTTCTGATTGTCCTTAAATTTGTTTTTTAAATGACCTTCAAAATAAACTACTAAATCATAAAAAAACACACCACAATTATTAGAGATCCTCCAATCAAGAACATTCACACACGTGTATACACACACATACACACACACACACACCATTTTATTCAAACTCCATGTGTTTGGGAAAGTGAATCAAAATAATAACAAAATAATATCTATGATGTCAGGTATGTCCTCCTAACATTAATGAAGCTGACATTGTCAACTTTGACATCGTCTCCTTTTTGGTCATTTAACAGCCTTTAATTGGGGAACATGGTGACTCTAGAGCTGCCACAAACAATTTGACAAAGAATACATACTACATGTCTAGAAGATGTCATTCTCATAGAGTTTGATCTGACTGGGCCCAAACCCGGAGTTTCCCCACAGCCAACTTGCACAACTCTAAATGGTGAGGCAGTTTAATTTATAGAAGTGGCTATGTATCAACTCTGTGCTAACGCTCAAATTAAGAACATGTAGCTAGTGTCCACTGAGGTGGGAGTTTTATACATCAAGAAGACAGGCAATCACTGTTGCCTAAAGTAACATGATTATAGAGCTGTTTAAAATTGTTATATCTCTTTTTCAGTACTATTACTATATACCACAATTCTAACAAATATCTGCTTAGCCTTATTAATAAAGACTTGAACATGAGGAAATCACCATTGAAGCCATATATAAAAAATAGATCAACACAGTAAAAAGTTATTAAATGTAAGATGTCAGATGCCTAATTCAGACACATTTGGGGGATTTCTTTTGAGGAATATTTTTACGAGCTTATAAAATGCTCAATTTTTAATAAAATTAAATCTGGTGAGTAACAGTGTCCATCAACCATGAAAAGTGCTGTATTATCATCACCTAACCCTTTGGTTTAATGGTTTGGTTCTATGGCTATTCACTAATCAATGATATGTATTTAAACATAGATTTTATTTATTTTAATTAAATTTTTATTGGGGTGACATTGGTTAATAAAATTATATAGGCTCAAGTGTACAGTTCTACGATACATCAACTGTATATTGTATTATATACTTCCTCCTAAAGAGACTAGGTGGTTCTAGGTGTCAAAGATAAAAAGCAGTCTAACCATGCTTCTGACAATTCCTTGAATCTTTATTTTAGAAGTATAAGCAGACTTTATTTTATTTCCTATGATACTATACCTCCGTAAAACAAAGAATTTTTTCTCTACAGGAAATAGAAGAATTTGTCCAGAGCTCAGGCAAAGATGGTATTGTGGTGTTTTCTCTGGGTTCAGTGATCCAAAATCTCACAGAAGAAAAGGGCAATCTTATTGCCTCGGCCCTTGCCCAGATTCCACAGAAGGTTAGTACAACCTTTAATCCTGCTCAGTTGGTGTCTTTCCAACTGAAAGTTGAATCTCATTTTATGCTTAACATATCAGGTACCAGGATTAAGTAAAAATTTGTAAAATATTACAACAGTGAGTTTAGGCATATTTGCACCTTGCCTGCTGAGCATTGTTGTTATTATGGAAACAGATCTTTTACAATCATTTGTTTTCAATGAAATAAAGATGAAAACATTAAGTGCCTTGTTCATGAAATCTTAAGTCTTGTTCTGACAATTCCCAAAATAGTTCTGAAATGCATTCACTCCAGGACCAGGAAAAGGGAGAAATAAAATGACAAAAATAAAGATGAATCATATACAAGAATATCCTCCATATCTTTGTTTGTATTAAGACTTGATTTATCATAATTGAGCATAGAAGTAGAAGCCTAGATTCATTTAGCATTTTAATTAGAGTTTTCTAGAATTAAAAGACCATAGAAATTTTAATATTATAGTCTAGCAATTTGCATGCCCTAATTTATGATATTTAACTCATTTTAAAGTTATTATCGCCATACTAGATTATTGCTGTTATATATTGTTATTTATAAAACATCCAAGAGCTCTTTTTATTTGCATACTTGGTTAAGTTCCATAAAATTTATGTAAAAAATTATATTTAAAGGTAAATATAATTGCAAAAACAAAACCAAACAGAATAATTGACTGAACTTTGGAATATAAGCAAAAATCATTATCTTATTCTTACTTTAGAAAAACAAAAAAAAAGAAGTTGTGGGAGAAAAAAGAAGATAGAAAGAAATGAAAGATGAAAAGATAACCAATCATCCAAAAAATAAGTAGATAAAATCTAAAGCAATGATATTTGTAAGAAACACTAATTTGAAGATAGAACTAAGAATGCCAGTGACATAAATGTATACAGAAGTCCTGTGGCCATAAAAATTATAACTCCCAAACTCTGATTCATTTGGCTAATATGGCATTATATACTAATTCTTCACTTACAATCTCACTCCCAGAAGCTCTTAAGTGATAAGAGACAAAATGATAATAGTACACTTAATAGGCAACTTTCACAAGTTCTTAAAAAAATGGTTGTAAACAGTGCCACTATTTCTTTCGGTATTTGCAAAGTATACTCCCTTCTCAACCATCAGCTAAAGTAGAGTAGATGCATGATTTATATATAACTCAACAACCTTAAACTGTCATTATCCTGTGGTACTACTTGTGAAATATATGCACTGTCTTCCACAGGTTTTATGGAGATACAAAGGAAAGAAACCAGCCACATTAGGAGCCAATACTCGGCTCTATGATTGGCTACCCCAGAATGATCTTCTTGGTAAGACTAAAGGGAAGAAAAGCTGTATAGTGGTTGATGGACAAGTTGATTAATTCTTTAACAGTGAATATGAACTTAAAAATTAATGTCAACAAATAGTTAACAATTCTAAATGTTTCTCATTTTTGCTCCAATTCAAAAGATATAATTAAATATTTGACCATTAATTTTATAGATTCATACCTCCTATGAATTCAGAGAGAGTTTCAGGCAACACAAAAGGGCTTAATGCCTCCTTTTCCTGGGATAGCAATTTTTTTGTGGTAGCAGTGCCCCATAGGAAATATTGTAGAAAATACTGTCTTTTTCAGTAATTTATTCCATAGATCTTCCTCTTCTGTCTCTGAATTTCTATTCATGTGTTATAGTAAAATTTTCACCTGCTTCTCATTCTATCCCCAAACTAGGTCATCCAAAAACCAAAGCTTTTATCACTCATGGTGGAATAAATGGGATCTATGAAGCTATTTATCATGGGGTCCCTATGGTGGGAGTTCCCATGTTTGCTGATCAGCCTGATAACATTGCTCACATGAAGGCCAAAGGAGCGGCTGTGGAGGTGAACTTATACACAATGACAAGTGCAGATTTGCTGCACGCCTTGAGAACAGTCATTAACAATTCTTCGTAAGTACTACTTCTTTCTAAAGGATTACCATTGATTGTATTATGCACCATACAAGAAAATGTTAGAGATCATGCTTACAGACCTTTGAATGGACCTTTTCCCATAATCTTGGCCCATTCATTATCTTGGTGTTGGAAATCTTCTGGAAAGTATAGTTCATACAATGTCACACTTCCTGCTTGGAAAAATTAGGCTTCAATTTCTATGTCTGAATTTAACCACATTCTATTAAGAATATATTTCTTTGCCCAGCCGGGCGTGGCTCAGCGGTTGAGCATCGACCTGGGATCCAGGCGATCAGGGTTCGATTCCCGGTCAGGGCACATGCCCAGGCTGCGGGCTTGATCAATGACTCTCTCATCATTGATGCTTCTACCTCTCTCTCCCTCTCCTTTCCTCTCTCTGAAATCAATAAAGATATACTTTAAAAAAAAGAAAAGAATATATTTCTTTTATAATCTCTCCACTATGCATGTTAAAATTCTATGCAATGAGCAGAGTTCATGTAGCAATGAGCAGAGTTCTGTGGCCTTTAGATTAATTTTTATAACATGTATCATGTAACTAACAAAAACAAAATTTCTTTCTCTTTTTGCCTTCTTTCTTACTTGCCATCCAGCTATAAAGAGAATGCTATGAAGTTGTCAAGGATTCACCATGACCAGCCCATGAGACCTCTAGATCGAGCAGTCTTCTGGATCGAGTTTGTCATGCGCCACAAAGGAGCCAAACACCTGCGGCCAGCCTCCCATGACCTCACCTGGTTCCAGTACCACTCTTTGGATGTGATTGGGTTCCTGCTGGCCTGTGCAGCATCTGCTATATTCTTGATCACAAAATGTTGTTTATTTTCTTGTCAAAAATTTGGTAAAACAGGAAAGAAGAAAAAGAGGGAATAGATCTTTCCAAGTTTTGCAAAGTTCTGAGTGGACAATCCTGTTTATTCCTGTACCTCCTTCCTGTTTTCAAATATTCCATTCCTCTTTTTTAGCCTAAAGAAACAGCCCAGAATTCCACAAGACCATTAACTGGTAAGCGTGTCCCACTCTTCCTTTTTCTAGCCCCAGGTATTTTTACCCGCTTCCTCTTTACCCACTTTCTGGCACAGGGACATTAATTACTCTAAAATTCCCATTCATATCACTCTTTTAATTTTATAACCTTAAGTGATGTGGTGATTGCTGAAGAGAACAAAATATGAGCTAAATGTCATGGATGTAGGGAGCTCAGAATAATACAGTTCACCAGTTGCAACAAACAGATCATATAATCAGGGGAGTATCCTCAAAAATTAGTATCCATGAAAATATGATTTCCTTTTTAAAAGGAAAATTTCCTAAATAAATATAAGCCTCCTCTTTATTTGCTCAATGTTATTTGTATTAGGCCAAAATTGAAAATAATGATGGAGCATTCTGCTTCGTAATGTTTACAAAGTTCCCATAAAGCTCAGCATTAGTCTGCTCAGAAGCCATAACAAGATACTGCAGACTCAGCAGCATAAGCAATAGATATTTATTTTTTCACAATTCTGGAGGCTAGAAGTGCAACATCAAGATGCCAGCAGGGATGATTTCTGGCGAGGCTTCCCTTCCTGACTCTGTCCTCTTATGGCCTTTGTAAGAAAAAAAAGCCTTACAAGGACACAAGTGTTACGGGATTAAAGTCCACCTCATGGCCTTATGTAGTTTGAAATATCTTGTTAAAGGGCTTATCTCCAAATATAGTCACATTGGGAGTTAAGGCTTCAACAAACACATTTGAGATGGTTACACAAGTCCATAACAAGCTCTATCAAACAATTATGCCTGTTTTTGCCTTTAATCAACAAATATTTATTGTGTGCCTTTTATGTAAAAGAAACAATTCTGAACATTTCCTTAGAAAATAAAGATAATCAATGGAATGATTTTTTTTTCCCCAACAAGTGAAGATATCAGTAAAGTTTTAAAGGTAAACAGATTTTAGGAGAAATAAATTAAAGAATTATACACAAATTGTTTTACTAATTTTAATGAGATTTTTAAAGACCAGTATAATTGACAACCTTAAAGTTAAATGTTAATTCATTATATTTAAAAATCGCTAGTATTCATAATTTTAGTAATAATTTTATATAATCAAAGAAATAGTTTCCTACAGAAAACAGTCATATACTCTGAATGTAAGATCATTGCAATTTTGCCCTGGCCAGTGTGGCTCAGTTGGTTGAGTTGCTGTCCCATGCACTGAAATGTCACCAATTCAATTACTAGTCAGGACACACACCCAGGTTGCATGTTCAAAGGGAGGCAACCAATCGATGTATCTCTCTCACATCGATGTTTCTCTCTTTTTCTCTCTCTCTCCCTTACTCTCTCTCTAGAATCGATAAAAACATTTTGAAAAAACAAAAGATCATTACAATTTTTTCCAGTCTCTATATTCCATAAATGTAAATTAATTACATATGGTTTCACTCATATGTGGAATACAAAACAAAAAGTAACAAATGAACAAATATAACAAAACAGAAAAAACAAATTAACAGAAACAGACAACAGATTGGTAATTACCAGAGGGGAGAGGTGTGGGGGAAGGGCAAAAAGGTAAATGGGGCTCAAACATATGGTAACAGAAGGAAACTAGACTTTTGGTGGTGAGCACATAATACAGTATGCACATATCAAAGTATAATATGGTTGTACACTTGAAATTTATATAATGTTATTAACTGATGTTATCACAATTTAAAAATTAAATAAATACGCCCAGCCGGGTGTGGCTCAGCGGTTGAGCATCAACCTAGGATCCAGGAGATCAGGGTTCGATTCCCAGTCCGGGCACATGCCCGGTTGCGGGCTTGATCAATGACTCTCTCATCATTGATGTTTCTATCTCTCTCTCTCTCCCTCTCCTTTCCTCTCTCTGAAATCAATAAAGATATATTTTTTTAAAAAATTAAATAAATACTAAATAAATCCTTATAGGGAAATCTTACGATTTTAGAGCAAAACCACACCATATTCTCCTGACTACTCTTCTGCGTTTTCGGAAACAGTTCCTGGATTTTTACTGAGCTCTGGTAGAAATTAAACCAATGAGATGCAGATTAGTAGGGCACCACTTAATACTCAGATGTCTAATAATAAAACTCATGTAAAGCTGTAACAAACCAATAAAAAAAGATCATCATATTGATTCTGAGAGAATAAAGGTTTGGATCACACCACCAACTAAAGAACTCTAAGGGGAGGAGTTGTCAAGGATAAAGGGTGCCCTGCTGTGTTTGGGTTACCTGTTTCTTGGGTCATACCACCATGATAGGGGGAAATGTGGCAGGTCAAGGGGTAACCAGGTTCATGAGCCCGCCACCCTGCTACCTGGTTTCTATTAGCTTCTGGCACCACTGTACTGTGACCAGAATGCCAGAGAGACGTCTCCTGTTACCAGGTTATCCAGTAATGCAAACTAACGGGAGTACCACAGCAACCAGAGGAGGGAGCCGCATTTATGGGCTCCAGAGCTGTTGCTGCCCCTCTTACCCTCCACGCATAGTGGCGTCAAGAATACTCCCTGGCAATTCCACCCCTACCACCTCCACTGGAGCTGCCAGCTCATCTGTGGAAAGCCTTGGAACTGGGATTGTCTGTATCATCCCTGTCCTCCCCCCATCTTGCCTCCCTGTGCATTCCAATACACCCACCTTCAGGTACACTGATGTGTGGATCCCTCAGGTGCCCAGATAATCAGAGAAACCTTTGTTAGGCTATATATGACCAACTCATTGTAGAGTTTAGAGGAGATATAAAGGGGTCATCTAACTTTGCCATGAAGCTTACATCACTCTAGTATTTCTATCTGCCACAGACAGAGCACATAAAGTAATATCTTCTAAGGTATAATGAATGCAATGCAGCCAGGACATACAGTAGATAACACTCATGTCCTAAATGAACTAAAAAAACTGTAACTTACAGATTACTTCTTGACTAGATTATGCTCACATACCCATAGGTAGCATAGCTTCCTTGTTATTCAAAGTGGGCCTAATAAACTTTGAGCCCTCTTTTAACATGATAGACAGTTAATGGTGAACTAACTTGTTAACTGCCCTAAAGGGACTATTCTACTCAGAATAACTCAGTATCCCTGTGAATATCAATATTTCTTCAAAATGGGGACATTTCCCCCATTTTCCAAATGGGGATTCAAATGGAGAAATTTTAATCAAAAGAATACTTCCAGGAAGTATGGATAATGAAGGGAACAAAGAGAAATGATGAAGCATCCAGGGACTAACAACAGTGACCTAGAAGGTACTTGATTAGTATTTAACTGAATTAGTGAATGAATAATGAACACTTCTATTTACTAGACAGACAGAGGGTACCATTACAGAAAAATACTGAGTAGAACAAATAAAAGGTAAGTGGAAAACCTGAAGGGTATAAGTCAGGAACCATGGCAATAATTTTAATAGATGAAGTAAAATAGTAATAAATTTTAGATCATGTAAACAAAACTATGGACACATTTTTATCTGATTTCAGATTTTGTTGCTGAACCTGGCATAACCTATTTCAGGGACATGGTGGGGGCAGAAACTAAATTACAATATGGGAGATAAGAAAATAAAACAAAGTGTGTAGACAACACTCATCAAGTAGCATTCAGGTTAGGACATATGGCGAATGGGAAAGGGGGTTAACACGGAGACAGGAATGTAGGCATCAAGATCCACATATGTCCATATATGTATTTTATTTTATTTTATAACATTAAGTGTGAAATGCTTGGCATAATTTAAGTACTCTAAATATATTAATTTAAATAATTCTTATAACAATCATCATTAATTTACATGTTTTACAGATAACAAAACTGAAATACAAATAGATTAAATAATTTTCCCAATGTGATTTTACCATAAGCAGAAAGAACTCAGAGTAAACACTGTTCAAATTAAATTATATACCTCATTTATGAATGTATACCTCTTACCACAAAAGACCCAATAAAGAGGAGAGGTTAAAGAGACAGAAAGAAGAAGGACAGTAAGTAAACTAAGAACCTGAGGTTGGCGGGTCTTAACAGGCATAAAGGATAGGATGCTTCATTCCTGTAAATGGGGAAAATAAATGAAGATAATTATATTGGTGGGAAAGTTTATAACATTTAGGTAAGGAACTAAATAGTTTGATTTCTTGCAAAAATAGGATATAAAGTTTTCTTTTTCTTTCAATATTCCTTCAAAATTTATATAGATTAAAATGTTTTCCAAGTCAAGCTATGCATCACCTATGTTTTACCTAGGCTGACATCACTTTGTTTATTTAATCTTCTATCAATTTCCAATCAGCAGCACTTTAAAACTTTGCTGAGTTCTTGGTGAATTGTGTCCCTCCTGTTTTACTAGGAGTGCGTCCAGGCTTTGTGAACCACTCCATGTTCCCTGTTCTCCATCTTCGTTCTCATTGTCCCTTCTCTATGTCCAGCCACCCTCGTTGGTGATGGGAGAAGCTTGTTACATTAGCAGCTACTGCTCATTGTATATGGGGAGAAGCCCTAAGAAACGGGGATTATTTTTGTTCTATAGCTCCAAGAATGAGTATCAAGTGACATATCAAAGTACAACAAAGCAATTTTCCCCCCATAAGCCTATATTTTTCACACTGTTTCTTTAAAATGTCAATGCAATCTCATGTCTCCTTATGATAATCCTGAGAAATTTGTCAAAATAAACTCATTTTTAGCCCGGCCGGGCGTGGCTCAGCGGTTGAGCATCGACATAGGATCCAGGCGATCAGGGTTCGATTCCCGGTCAGGGCACATGCCCGGGTTGCGGGCTCGATCAGTGACTCTCTCATCATTGATGTTTCTGTCTCTGTCTCTCCCTCTCCTTTCCTCACTCTGAAAT